TGAATCCCCCGGACTATTTGGTCGGATTGGATATGTATCCTGTGTTTGTTTTTTCATGGGATTAGATGTCTGGATAGGACTATTTTCAGTGAATCCAACGTTTGGTTAGACGGACTGGATAAGATAAATGAATAATGAATTTGCAGGTCATAGTCTTTGATTAATTCAAGCCATCTCCTCTGTCGCATATTCAACTCTTTCTGTGTAAAAAAATATTTCAAACTCTTTATGATCTATATATACCTCACATTTTGCCCCGCATAACTAATGGCACCAGATTTTCAATGCAAAGACAACAACGCAATTTATATTCTGAACAATGAGTTTAGCACTATTGATTATCTTTGAGAGATTTAAACATACTAATGGTTAAATGTTTAAATTTTTATTTAAACAATTAACATTGAAATTATTTTGATGTACAGATTATGTTTAAACAATTAACAATTAACAATTAAATAAATGTTGATGTATAGATTATGTTTAAACAATTAACAAATGTTGATGTAATTAACAATTAACAAATGTAGATGTAATCAAATGTTGATGTATTAAAACATAATTTAATAGATGTTAAATAAATATACATGTTGATGTACAGATGTTGAAATAATTTAATAAACATGTTGATGTACAAATGTTTAAATGTTTAAATAAAACATAATTTAAATAAATGAAATTATTTATTGTTGAAATTAAACATTTAATTGTTTAAATAAAACATCTATTAAAACATCTATTAAATTTAAACAATGAAATTAAATAAAACATAAACAAAATTTTAAAATAAAACATCAATAAAATATCTATAAAAAATTATTTTAAAAAATTAAATAAATAAAACATTAATAAAAAGTTAAATAAAATTATTTTATTTTTAAATTGAGACATTTAAATTTTATTGAATTTTATTAAATATAATACATAATTAAATAGTAGAGGGTCAAAATGGTCATTTTCGCATATAATCCAAACAGTGATTAGTCCCCCACTTTCTGTCCCACCCCCCCCAGGACAGGATAGTCCCCCATATGGGGGACATGGAGTCCGGCCGGACATGGAGTCCGCCGGACTAAAAAAAAATCAAACGACGGATAAGGAGGGAGGCCGGACATGGAGTCCAAATAGTGGATAGTCCCCCAATCAAACACATCCAAAGTTTGACTCATTTTGAACTCTACCAGAATACCCAGAAATTTAATTTAGTTTGATGAAGGATTTGCAGCAGCAATTGCATCAATCAAAAGAAGTCATGTCTAACAATACTTGATGATGATGAAGAAAAAGATGATGATGATGATGATGATGATGATGATGATGAGAGAGAGAGAGAGAGAGAGAGAGAGAGAGAGAGATGAAGCAGACCAGCGAGCTTAGGCAGAGAACGCCAGGTAGGATGGCCATGGGTGGAATGTAGTCAACAAGGATCTTGTCTTCTTCAGGAGTCCATGCTCCCCTTTTCCCTGCTTCTTTGTCACAGCATGGTGCTCTTCCCATCTCCTCTTTCTCTTCCTCTGCTTTCAACTTTCAATTCAACAACCAAGCGCGCACACACACACATCACCTAGTACTGAATACAAACCCTATAATCTCAAAATAAATTTGGGAGAGAGAGAGGACGGAAGAGGTTAGTGGGAGAATCTCCTCAAGGAAATAATAAATGCAAGGGATACTCAGCTATACAACATTTAATAAAAAAGGCAAATGTCGCACACATCCGGACAACTTAGACTTGGGCTTTTCTGCACTCTTTCTTAGCATTCAATTGATTCTTGTCCACGCACCCATCATAGACTTGCAGTCCAAAAAAAAAAAATTTGTTGTAGTCTTGGAGTACTATTTGTTGGAAATGGTAGAAAAATTCTGGGTAAAATCAAAATTTTTTCTCAAGTTTGATTTATTTTTTAGGTGGGCCCCGAGCGTCGTTTTACTCGGGTCAAAGTGGTAACGCGTTCTATGCCGCGTTGTGATTCACGTGGTATATTTGGTTGCTCAAAACCATTAACGAGTGAATGGAAAATTGAAGCCAAAGTGTGCTCCATGGAAATGGAGTTTTGGTGGAAATTCCTTAAGGTTGTAAAATGGCTTGTCCCACATTGATTTGGTGAGAAGTTTTGAAAGGGTTTATAAGGCATGGGTTTGGTACTTGTGGTGTGCCCTAAGGGGTACCCAAGTATTTTAGAGGGAGAGGTTATGGGCTAGACCCATTGGATCCAAAAATCACCACACGCGCCGCCGTCCGGGCGGGCTGGGCGCAGGTGTGTGGTGTGTGGTTGTGCTTATTCAGCCCAATACTAATCTTTTTTGGCAAAAAACATTTGAATTTATTTTTTATTTTTTGGTAAAATAAAATCCATAATTCAAATTTACCGGAAATAATCTGGCTCAGTTTTTTCTGTACATCTAAACAGGGCCCTTCCGTTTTTTTGAACCCAACAGCTCTAAATCTGTTTGAATTTCAAACCAAACAGTGCCTAAACAGTTTGTATCTGTTTAATTCAAATTGAACAGGTACAGTACCTGTTTAATTCAAAATGGAAAGCCACCAATCCATCTATAAATAGACTAAGCCCCTCCCCTCATTTGGAAAAATACTCCAATTTTCGTACTCCATCTTCTGCTATAAATTTATTCTTCATTTTGCATTAAGTTCTTGTTACAGAGAGTATAAACACTTAGTGTGTTCGACGAACGAATAAATTGTAGTGCTGCTTTTATTCGTTGATAGATCATTTTATCATGGGAGATAGGCGTCCAGATTCTGAAAGCACCGTGGAGAGGACGAATCTGTCTTAAGGACACAGTGTTAAACACTAGACTTGATCAGATAAAAGAATTGGTCAGAACAAAGATCAAGAAGTTTGAAGAAGTAAGGATAGAACAGATTGGCAGGGAGGAAAACAGCAGAGCAGATGAACTAATAGGTTTGCGTCAATGGCAGATACATCCATCCCTCACCCACTACTAATTGACTACCTACCAAGACCAAGCATTGAGGACCCCGAAGT